CTGAGTGCCAGAAAGCACCCTCCGTGTCCAGGCAATGGGCACGCCAGCCTGCCCGCCGCGCCCGTCTGCCCTTCCAGCCTGTCTAGTCCAGAGGTCAGCAGATGTCTCTGGAAGGGCCAGATGGTGCAGATTTCAGGATCAGTGGACCATGTAGGTCATTGTCACAGTGCCAAGCCCTGCTGGCGCCTAGGGAAACCAGATGCTACATCAATAAGGGGGTGCCAGGTCCCAAAGCTGATCAACAGAGACAGGGCGCCCCAGCCCTTCCGGCCTGCCCACCCTGCCCACACCTGGCCGCCACGCCAGTGCCTACAGCCAGCCCGAGCGCCACACTCCGCTCGTCCCCCGCTGAGACTGTATCCCTGGGCCTGGGGTGGTGCCAGGTCTCCCGAGAGCCACCTGCAGCTGTCAGTCCAGCTGCGAGGACACCAGGGGCGCGCGCCTCGCCCTGCCTGGCCCCGGGAAGCCAGAGCGGGTCAGCCTGTCCCAGGACGGGCTGCGAGGAGAACCGGGCGCTCGTGCCTTTTCGTAATTGGCAAAACCGCCCATGACGGCGGGGTCCACGATGCCGTTCAGGAGCATGGACAGGGGGTTGATGGGGAGGCTGGGGTCGCTCAGATGCTGCTCGACCATGCTGCTCATCTTGTCGTTGGTCAGCTGCATCGTCTCGATGGCGTTCTCTAGGGGGCTGACCTCCACCTGTGCGGGACGGGAAGGTGGCGAGAAGGCACGTCAGCACGGGGGCCGGAGCCTCCCGCCGCCTCCAGCTCGGGGCCTCACGGCCAGACACATTCCCAGAGCGGGCAGGCTCCCTGCGCCCGTGCGCACCTCGCCTCCCGGGGCTTGGGGGCGGGCACCCCTGGGGCACCGTGCGGGCAGCCGGGCTCCTGTCATCATTGTGCCTCCACAGATGTGTCTGGCAGCAACTTCCGGGGCAAAGCACAAGGGTGCCCAGTGCGGGCTTTTGCGCAAGTGTGTGCCCACCGTGCCTGCAGGCCCGGGGCCGCCCCAAGCCAACACACAGCCCTCAGTGCGTGAACACGGCCTATCAGCTTCTCCTGCTCCCTGCTGCTTTACAAGGGGGCTCAGAGCCGACTTGCAGCAGCCCGCCCCGCTGTGAGCGACACTTTCCAAGCCCCGTCCTTAGAGGGTGGAGAGGGGGCCCCGCCTGGTCTCCACCCGAGTCTCTCGCCCCCGCCCCCGCCCCCCGCACACATCAAAGCAGGGCCCTGGCTTGCTGGGCTGCCCGGAACGGCTGCGCTGGGGCAAACCCAGCTGTCCGCCTGGGTTTTCTCTCCACATCCCGCCACGGCCTCCGATCTCGGGTCCCCATGCTGCCCGTCTGACCCCATTTGAGCAACACACTCAGCCCCAGCCCGAGGTGCTGTGAGAGCGTGGCTGGGTTCCGGGGCGGCCTAGCGCTGTGCCGGGGCGACCTTGAGCGCACCCACTTTGGCCCGCCCGTAGGGGGTGGAAGGGCCCCCCCAGCACCCAGGAATCATGCCGGCAGATGGCAAAACCAGGGGCACCTGCTTCCTCTGCTGCCTCCCTGGGGGCTGCCTGTGAGGGGGAGAGGCAGCGAGCTCAGAGCCACGCCCAAGGTGACTGCCAGTCAGCCCGGCCCCGCGGACGCTGCTCAGGTCTGTGCCGCCCGGGCGGGGGCCCGGCACAGCCACGCGAGCACCCTGGGGCTGCCCGGCCCGCGGCAACGGTCAGGCGGGGTCTGCAGCGCGGCAGCCGGGCATGACCGGGCAGCGGGGCGCCGTGGCCATCCCTCCTGGGGGGCTCCTTACCATGAAAACAGACTTGACCTCAAACCACCTCAAAATTCCAGGGAGTTTGTAGGCCGTGGTGTAGACGGTTCTCTCGATCCACATGTTCTGCAGAGGGAGCACACGGGGCACCCGTCAGGGCGGCGGTGGGGGGCTGCGGGCCGCGGGCGCCCGCGGGACACGGCCTCCAGGGTCGGGCGACCCTCGTCACTCAGACCCACGGTGCCCCCTCGCCTGGCAACGCAGCCCGCTGGGAGCGAGGGGAGACGGGCGGGAGCCGCGCCTGGGAGAGGCCTGCGGTGGCGCCGGGCGGGGCGACCGTCGCCCCATTCTTGTGCGTCAACGTCTAAGCTTAAAACAAGCCCCCCGTAACTACCACTCGCGGACAGCAGAGAACACAGCCGTGGAGAGGAGGAAAGCGCCCGCCCGAGC